TTTTTTTTTTTTAGAGTAGCTGGGGGAGTGGGAAGTGAGCACAAATTGGAGAGGATGAAAGGAAGATCACCTGGATCACCTCTGGCCCCCTAGCTCCTATCCCCCTAACTTGGCTACAATAGAGTTCAGATTTTTCAGTGAAAAAGTAGTAGAAAACACTGCTGTTTTTGCTGATTGCTATAAAAAACAGAAACAAGAGTTAAGTAAGAAATAGTATGGATTTTTGGTTTTAGTTTTTAAATGTTTAAATTCATGTTTGAGAAAAAGCTAGTTTAATTGGAGAATGAGGGATGAACAAGAGTGAATTGGGCCCCAAAAGTTAAGCTATCGGTCTTTGAGCAGAAGGCCGGCTAAGTCTACCTTGGACCAGATAGCTGCCTAAGCTGTGCACACAAATGCACGAGTGCCTGCCTGGCCTTCCCTCCTTAGATGATAGCCCTGGCAGGCTTGGGGATTTGTTTCTTCCTCTTGTGAAGGAGAAACTAGGGCCATTTCTCCTTGATTAGAACCTCTCATTTATTCTGGATCTAGATTGGGAGGCCGTGGGATTATATGGACACCTCCCCCCCACCCCTGCTCCCTCAGTGTGGATCCCCTCACGATCAGGAAGGAGTGGGGGAGAGAGAGGACTTAGTTATCTCAAATGCTGCTGACACAATGCCTGAGAACACTTCACCAAGGTCCTGCTTAGAGCCTTAAACAGGCTAGAAGGGTGTGATGGCCGGCTTTCCAGACCTGTCATCCTCAGGCTCAGCCCTAAGTAGGGCCCTCCCATGGTCTCTGCTTCCTACAGTAATTCCCACTCTGCTCTGTGCTTATTCCCCAGTAGCTCGTCCTCTTACCCTGCCTCTGGAGGTAGCATGTTTCTTTACTACATCCTTGGCCTTCCAAAGGTCAAGGGACGTGCGTCCTCTGCTGAGCGGTACAACCCTCTGCCCTACTCACCCCAGTAAATTACCCCAGTAATTCTGTTGCCTCCTACTCAGGGAGAAAATTAAAGGTCTCAGGTGTGTATTCCCTCAGCTTCTTGCTCTTCCATTTTGTAAACTCACCTGCACCTGAACGCCTCCTAGCCTTCTCTTCTCCACAGGAAGAGCTGCCCTACCTCCAACAAGAGTAGCATGATAGATCTCACTTTTAATACTCACTTTTTACTACTTACAGTTGAACAATTTTTTATGTTTATTGATGATTTGTATTTTTTATGGCTTGTCTGGTTTTTGTCAGTGTTTCTTTTGGGGTATTTTTTCCTCACTTGGGGTAAAAACAGTATTCTCAAGAAAAAGATAAATGCAAATACTTAGAATTTTCATATATCAAGAAAGGTCACAAAATTAAAAGTTAAATAAATTGGAAGAGAATTTTGCAGTAAGTGTTAAAAGAGAGGTTGGTTGCCTTTTAAATAAAGAATTTGTAAGTCAATAACAGAGACTCATTTCATATTCTTTCACCTAGCAATAGATTGTGAGGAAGCAATCCTAATTACAGAAGAAATTTTACATAAAAAGATATTATGGCATTATTTATAATAGGGAAAATTGGAAACATGTTCAGTAGGGAGGATTGTAAAGTAATTTATGGTACATCCATACACTTTAATTTCTTTAGCCATTAGGAAATATTCAGAGTTGTTATTTTAAAGTATGCTAAATAATATAGTTTTATCTCACCTATGTTTAAAATATACAAAGAAAGACTGAAAAAATATACCAAAATGATAGTGACAAACAGTATGCTTTGCATTATGTGATTAGGCTTATAATCGGAGAGCGGGATCTTTTTAATCCAAGTTTTCTTTGTATTTCATCATCTGCTGATTCCCCTGAAATCCTGGCACAAACCCTGTGCAGCACTCTGACAAACCTGTGACCATTTTTTCTTCATTCAACAGTTGTAAAGGATCTTTCTCATACTAGGATATAGTGGTAACTAAAACAGACACGACCCTGCCATCATGAAGCTTGATGAAGCTTAAAGTCTAGCAGTGACTTTTTTTACCTTTATTTTTTTAATAGATTAATATTCTCATCATTGAAATACTAAATAAAGTTCTATAGAAAAGTCTCCCAGCGGCTCATTTTCATTCCCTGAGAAATTTTATATACGTGTAAGAAAGTGAATGTGTGATCTGTTACATAAATAACATACATTCTGTACAGTTTTCATCCCACAGTATATCCTGGAAATGAGTCCCTTGTTGATGGGCATTTAAGTTTTCTAATTTTTTCAGTCCTTTTTCAATAACTTCTCATGCCTTATGTCATACACCTTTCTGGGAGTTTGAAACTAATGCTTTACCTTTAGGGGTACCGCTCCTGATTCTTCTTAAGTCTGCTTTGTAGGATCCCCCAGGGTCGGTCTTCTTCCTAGGAATTTCATCCTTTCGCCTCTACTTCTGCCCTGATGACACCCAAATACAGAATAACCCAGACCTCCCCTGAACTCCAGCCGTGTCCAGACTGCCTGGGGATACTTTTACCTGGACGTCCCCTGGGAACCTTAAGCTTGATATCCCTTGTGGTATTCATTACATACCTCCTCAACAAGCTGTGCCTTCCTTCTTTCCATCTAGCTACATGGTTCCCATTTCTCTAAACCAGAACCTCAATTCCTCTCCTCCGTCTTCCATACCCAACAACTAAACCTGCAAATTTGAACCACTTTCTTTTTTTCTTTTTTTTTTTCAAATAATTTTATTTATTTATTTATTCCCCCAAAGCCCCAGTAGATAGTTGTATGTCATAGCTGCACATCCTTCTAGTTGCTGTATGTGGGACGTGGCCTCAGCATGGCCAGAGAAGCAGTGCGTTGGTGCGTGCCTGGGACTGAACCCAGGCCACCAGCAGCGGAGCACGCGCACCCAACCGCCAAGCCACGGGCTGGCCCTGAACCACTTTAACATCTTTCTTTTTCTCCCACTTTCCCCTTCTTGATTCCTTTTCTGCTGTTTGGTTCAGCAAACATGTTCTAACTCACGTTTGAATGCTTTATGGTAGTTTTTGATGACCATTTCAGCAAGTGAACTGAGAGGCAAAATGGCTTAAGAGGCAACATGGCCAACTCTAATTCCTCCTCACTTGGCTTTTGGCATATTAGTGTCATTCTGTATATAATCGTAGAAAATGCCCCAAACCAAATGGAAACATTTTAGCTGTATTTCAGTATACTACTTAGTGGGTGGGCAGTTACAGTTGACCTTTTTTTTATGGTTTGTTGGTTTTACTTTTTTTTAAAGATTTTATTTTTATTTATTTATTTTCCTCCCAAAGCCCCAGTAGATAGTTGTATGTCATAGTTGCACATCCTTCTAGTTGCTGTATGTGGGACGTGGCGTCAGCATGGCCGGAGAAGTGGTGCGTTGGTGCGCACCCGGGATCCGAACCCGGGCCGCCAGCAGCGGAGCGCGCGCACTTAACCGCTACGCCACGGGGCCGGCCCTATTTTTTTTTTTAATACAAAGGAAATACATGCTTGTAAAAAACTTAGTGCAGATATGAATAAAGTAAACAGTGAAGGTCCCTGTCATTCCCTTACTCCCTTTCCCCAGAGGTTTCTTTCTCAGCATTTACTGTGTCCCAAGCGCTGCTCTCTACAACTCTATGAGGTGGGTACTATTATCTCCACTTCACAGACAAGGAGTCTGAGGCACAGAGAGGTTAAGTGACTTGGCCAAGGTCACGACGCAGGTTGTAAGTGGCAGAGCCAGGGTTTGACCGCAGGCATCTGTCTCCGGAGCCCAGCTCTCCTGGGCTCCACCTCTTAAGTTTTCAGATGTTCTGATTTTCATCTGAAGAGGCAAGAATGGCAGAGGGGAGGAAAGAAAGAAAGAAAAGGTATAATGGGCCTGCGTGCATCCTGAAACCAGGGCTTCTGAAGAGGTAGTAGGGTAGTGAGAAATAGTAAAGAGTTTCTGGTGTTGTGTGTATCACTGACTCTCCAAACCTGTTTCCTTCTCTGTAAATGGGGGGAGGGGGGATGAAGAGTAAGTTCTCCATAAATCATAGCAATGACTAGAGTAGTATCTTTGGATTTTGTGTGGGGGGTTGAAGATGTTACTAGCTCCTGTCCTCATTTTAGAACCATCAGCATCTCCCTTCCGTATACAAGTTTGATTAATGCTATTAAACATGGTAGATTTGCTGCATGAATGCCTTTGGCAGTTAAAGCTGTTAATTTGCATTACTGTAAATTGATCAAAACGTGTTAAAAAGTTGCAAATCTCAGAGTCAACCACAGAGCAAGAATGGCAATAGGGATTAATCATGGTAGATAGTCACATAGTAGACTGTTTATTAAATAATCAATATTCACCATCTTCAGATGTGACCCCCTTGGATGGATTTGAATTCTGAATTTTAGGACCACCAAAGAAGGAGATGTTATTGCCTGAAAAAAGCAACCTAATTTAATGTCTAACAGTTCTCTCCCCTAGAAATATCTTTCTCACATGTAACCCAAATTGATCTTTGTTTTGAATTAAGGCCTCTTATATCTTGATTCCTTCCTCGTGTCAAGATAATCTTAGTAAAAATTAATAAAACTAGGAGTAGAAATGTGTACTGCAGAAACCTGTAGCCAAAATCTCTTAATGATCTTGATAGGAAAAGTAAAGCTTTCCTCTTTTCCTGTGTCAATCTTCTGGGCCTTGAGGTAGACTCAGCTACTCTGTATTTGTAGTTAGGTAAAGCCACCCCTTGGGGAACAGACCTGAGAAAAAGAAATAAGGGGGATATAGTTTCCTCACTTATATCTTAAGAAGTGTAGTTTCTGTCTCTGGAAAGTAGAGTTTAAATCTTTATACCATGGTGTAACATTGCACCCTTGATATCTATTAGTATATTGTTACTAAAGGCTTAATCATTTTTCATTTATTTATAACTGATCTAGGTCTAAGTAGAGACTGCCCCTACATGTGGGTGTTTGCTGAGTATTTATGGTTGGAATTTTTGCGTTGTTCTTTGTTTTCTGTATGTTTTTTTAAACTTGTCTTTTTTTTTCCCCCCTCTCGTGTCATCCTCAGGTTCGAGAACTTGTCCTGGACAATTGCAAATCAAATGATGGGAAAATTGAGGGCTTAACTGCTGAATTTGTGAACTTAGAGTTCCTCAGTTTAATAAATGTAGGCTTGATTTCAGTTTCAAATCTCCCCAAACTACCTAAATTGAAAAAGGTAAGTGCTTTTTCTTTAACAGTAAAAGACAGAACCATCCTGGGAAGGGGAAAATATATGATTTTACCTTTAAGGAAGCATTTAATGCAGCAAAAAGCACATAGCCTTTGGACCTGGGCAGATCTGGGATTGAATTCCAGCTCCATCATTTCCCTGATGGGTGATCATCTGCAGGTGACTTCATCTTGCTAAGGCTGTTTCCCCACCTGTAAACTGGTGATACCACCTGAGCTTGCAGAATTGCTGTGATGTTTGGAAATAATACATGTTAGATGCTCAGTAAATAGTAGATCTGAAGAATAATTATTTTGTGAATAATTTATTCCTTGTTAATTATTATAAATTTTTTGTTATAATGTTAACTACGTTTTGTTCTTAGTATACTCTGGTTTAGGAACCACAAGTGCCTCCCACTCTTTATGTTTTAGGTTTGTTAAGGGTGAGTGTAAAGACTTCAGATTTGTAGTCTATGATAATTCAAACCTGTTATGTAATTCTTAATGAGTAGGAAGTTTAAAATGTGTTGTGACTGACTGCAAGAATTCATTGTAACAAAGCTACTGTGTTTCCCTGTCCTATCTCATGGCCCATTGTTAGTGCTTTATTGGTCTAATTATAACCAATCACTGTCCCCCTCCAGTGCCCCCCACCCCACCCAAAAAAAACTTCAAGAAAAAAATGTTTTCTCGTGTCTTTGCACATTTAACTGTCAGCCCCAGAATGTCAAAACTGGAAGAAACTTGGATCTTCTAACCTAGCCCGTTATTTTATAGGTACAGCAATAGACCCAGAAAGGTATAGTAATTTGCCTAAAGCCACCCACAAGAGTAGTTAGTGCTAGAGACAAAACTAGAACCCATGTCTCCTGTTTCCTAACCCGGTACCTTTTCCGTTACATACGAAAAGTATGTGGTCATTTAAGTGTTGCAGAATTCTCCACTGTTTGGGTGTTTGCTTTATTAGGGAATTTAAGTTGAACCTTTATCTAAACAAAGGTACACACAGAAAGAAATCTGTTTATTTAGGCAAAGGGTAGGTAGGCTGTTCCTGTATCTTGAATTCTGGGAGGGATTTGGTTTTTGGTTAAGTACATAAATTAAAAACCAGAAGTGGTGGTTACTTATTTGCCTTATTTAGGTAATAAATGCTCAGGCAGTCTTCATGAGTTTCAGGGTGACATTGCATCCTATCAGAAAGAGTCCTGTTATATTTAAATTTGTAAATTTTGCCCTTTCTTCTGATAAATATCTACTTTAGAGGTTCAAGTGTAATCCTGGGTTATCAGTGACATTGGAAGCTCTGATTAGCCCGTTGAACAACTGATGGCTTTTTAGCTTCTATCTGCATAAACTTGATTGTTAGCTTATCCCTATTATGTGTTTTCTGTTCTGTTTTCCTAGCATCTTGATACGTTTTCCCGAATTACTGTGGTCTGTGTACTATCACACTTGTTCAGCAAGTCAGTGCATCGGTGACCATCTACATAGAGGCTTTATCAAATCCCTCTGAAGTCTTGTTAGTCATTTATCTTGTAGGGTTAGTGAGGGAGGAACAGAAAGATCTATAAACCAAACTTAAAGGCAGTTTGGATGTTCTCATTGCTGATATGGACTTGATTTTCTTCCTACCCTAGAGCACAGATTTTTTTTTAACAAGTAACAGATTCTGAAAGAAATTTTGGTGTATAAATGTCACAGGTTTCCTAAATTTACACATTGATTTCATTTCAAAATAAATATGCCACTAAATGCTTTGGTGGATTGCCTTGTCTCTACTCCCAGAGATATTCATGTCAAAAGGATGTGACTATTAAGTATGTGTGATATTCTAACCAAGAGAAATAGTCTATTTTGATTTACTAAAATCTCAATAAAGCTAACACTTGAGTCTTTGTTGATTATAGACTTGTATTTTTTAAATCTAGACCATGACTAGCTATTTGACTGGAATATCCCATTGGAAGGAAAAAATGTTTTGTTTTTCTGAGGAAGATCAGCCTTGAGCTAACATCCATTCTAATCCTCCTCTTTTTGCTGAGGAAGGCCGGCTCTGAGCTAATAACATCTATTGCCAATCCTCCCCCTTTTTTTTCCCCAAACCCCCAGTAGATAGTTGTATGTCATAGTTGCACATCCTTCTAGTTGCTGTATGTGGGACGCGGCCTCAGCATGGTGGGACAAGCGGTGCATCGGTGCATGCCCGGGATCCGAACCCAGGCCACCAGTAGCGGAGTGCACGCACTCAACTGCTAAGCCACGGGGCCAGCCCGGAAAAAATGTTTTGAAATGTTATGTTTTCCTCTTTTGAAATATTTAATGACATCTAAGCAGCAGGCTTGAGTATTTTTTTTTTGAGGATGATGAGCCCTGTGCTAACATCTGCCAATCCTCCTCTTTTTTTTTTTTTTTTTTTTTTTTTTTTTTTTTTTGCTGAGCAAGACTGGCCTTGGGCTGCCATCTGTGCCCATCTTCCTCCACTTTATATGAGATGCTGCCACAGTGTGGCCTGCCAAGCGGTGCGTCAGTGTGTGCCCGGGATCCGAACTGGCGAACCCCAGGCCACTGCAGTGGAGCACACATGCTTAACCGCTTGTGCCCCTGGGCCAGCCCCTTGAGTTGTTTTTTAAACTCGTTCTTTCAGTGAATATTTATTTAAAAGTTCCTCTATTCTGCATTATGTAGTTCATTTCATTGCATGCCAAAGACTAAATAACATGAACTTTTTGTGCTATTCCAGATATATAGCATTGTAGGGAGCACATGGATTCTTCTGAAGCTAGCCTGCCTGGCTTCAAATCATAGGTCCGCCACTGTAATAGCTGTGTGCTCTTGGGCAAGTTACGTAGTCTCTTTGTAGTTCATTTTACTCATCTGTAAGTGAGGGCAACAGTTCTTCCTACCCCATAGGGTTATTGTGAGATCAGATGGGTTCATGTATTTCTAGTGCTTCAAACAGTGCCTGGCACTTAAGTACTATGTAGGGGTTAGATACAGTTACCATTGTTGTTGGCACTTAATATGGAGAATTGAAACCAGCTGCATGGCCTAAGTTTTCTCATGTGCAAAGTGAAGAGTTTGAATTAGATGCTCTCGACCATCTTATTTTTCCAGGCTCCAGTTTCTTTCCCTCTGAGATTCTAGTACTCGTGGTGAAGGCTCTTCCCTTCTTGGGCACCCCACTTGCCGTGCTACTTGACCTGCAGCTAAGAAATTAGAGCAGGTTCTTACAAAGGCTAGTGCCAGGAGTGACCTCTGGGGAGTTGGTTTTGTCAACCCTGAAGCTGGTGCCCCTCTCCCTTTCCTGAGGTCATGGAGCTTAAGGCCTTGTGTTGTGGCCCGTGCCACTCCTGTAGCCTTCAGAGCAACATTCCCCAGTGGCTTCTAGATCTAGAACCCCACAATGCGTCAGGACTGTACAGAACCAGATTAGGTTTCAAGTGGGCATTGCAGTCTTTGCCTGGCACGCAGAATAAGCTGCTTAGAATGCATGGACCGTTTACCCTTTCTGGCAACTTCTCAAAGAATTCTAATTTGCTTTGACCCACTTTTTAGGTGAGAAAATATATTCACTGATGTTAGGGGCCACTTCTCTAACAAACTTATAATTAGCAGCTGGTTAAGAAAACACAACTCTTTTCATTCTATCCTGTCTCTCTTCCTCTCCCAAAATGTTGCTGGGATCTGTAAACTAATTATTTGGGTTTAATCAAACAAAATGAATACATGCCCTAATAAAAATAGAAATCATTTGACCTTGATAAGTATTTGAGAATTGTATGTGCTATTTATAACACCTTAATGATACGTGTTTCTCTGTGTGTATTTGTGTGTGTGCTGTGTGTGTTTTCTCTTGCAGCTTGAGCTCAGTGACAATAGAATCTTTGGAGGTCTGGACATGTTAGCAGAAAAACTTCCAAATCTCACACATCTAAACTTAAGTGGAAATAAACTAAAAGATATCAGCACCTTGGAACCTCTGGTAAGTAATTGAGAATTTGGAAACCAAGACGTATTGGTCATTTTCATTTTCATATTTCTTTATAGTGAGGGAAATGACTGGAAATAATAATTGATCGAGAAAGTGAGGAGTTTTTATTCTAATGCTTTTTATAGAAGGAGCCCAGTTTTAAAGATGGGTGAGGACCTCTCTGGTTATGTGTGTTCCTGTGGCTTTGCTCTCTCTGCCTGATTATTGTGGTGGCTTCCTTCAAAGGAGAAGTCTTTTCTTTTTTGTCCTTTTTAAATTTTCTGTATTGACTATAGCCTTAAACATCTGTGTTAAAATTTTTTCTCCAGGGGCCGGCCCCGTGGCGTAGCGGTTAAGTACGCGCGCTCTGCTGCTGGCGGCCCAGGTTTGGATCTCGGGTGCACACCAACGCACCACTTGTCAGGCCATGCTGTGGCGGCGTTCCACATAAAGTGGAGGAAGATGGGCACAGATGTTAGCTCAGGGCCAATCTTCCTCAGCAAAAAGAGGAGGATTGGCATGGATGTGAGCTTAGGGCTGATCTTTCTCACAAAAAAAAATTTTTTTTCTCCAGACTAGCAAGCTATTCTATACTTTTATAGAAAAAGCTATTTATATTGTGTGGCATATCTGAATTATAAATGGAACAGTCCAAGGACAGCTCCAATAAGTTTTAGATCTTCTAATTCATGATCTTGTGCTCTAGCTGGATCACTGTTGCCTGAAGTTTTGCATGGGAACCCCCAAATCCTCCTGAGTCTTACCTACTGGGATAAGCTATGGAAAGTTAAGCAAGTGCCAGTTGGTTCTAGACTTGCTGTGTGACCTTGGGCAAATTGCTTCTTCTCTCTGGGCCTCAGTTTCCTCCTTTATGAAGCAGGGAACATAATAATACCTGCCTTACTTACCTCACTTAGGAGTTCTGAGAATAAAATAAGGTAATACACTTACTTTGCTTTGGAAGTTGGGAAGCTGTACTAATGGGGGGCCAGTCCGTGTGGAAGTTGTAGTGGAGCTTCTGGAGGCATAGGTTAATGCAGGGTGTGGGACAGCCCCACAGGCTGTCCTGTTTGGCCGCCACCTGGAAATCTGTATGAATTCAAGATTGTTAAATGACTGATTTCCCTAAATATGACATTCAATAAATTTGGCATAGAGGTAGAATTCCATTTTAATAAGGCTCATGGAATTCAGACTTGTTTTATACTACCCAGAGAAGCCTGTGGCTTCTTTCCGTTTTTACTGGTGTACGTAAAGTCAGTACTTCCATTCGACTTAACTTGCGAGCATTAACTGGGGAAGGGTTATGCCGCAGATGGGAGCTGTCTTTCGGGATCTAGAAGAGTAGAACCCAAGAGGATAAGGCATCTTTCTCTGCTCTTCTGATGTCACTGTATTAAAGTATTGGATTTCGCATCAAGTGTACAGAATGCTCTGTTGATACTTTAAGAGAAGATAGAGTGAAATTGTGACTTTCTTTTAATGAAGAGGATTTCCTGCCATAACTATAGGATCTTTTCCTTCTAATCAGTAATTGAGGCTCTGCTCCACTGTAGATTTAATCACCTTTTACAAAGTCCCTTTCATTAAGTGGGCCACATTTAACTCATATTTCTCAGAAATCTTGGGAGCCTCTTTCTCACCTGTGCTCCGTGAATTTTGCCCATTTTTTCTGTTTTAGGTACACTCAGATGCTTGACTCCTTCATATTTCTAGTTCTGTTCTTTTCCTCCACACCAGTTCCTATGTCCAGTGTTGAAGCAAACGTTTACTGGGTTTTGCTGTATTCAGGGACAGTGACTCCTGCCCGCTGCATCCTTGGATGATGTGGAGGAGAGGGTGACTGTCCTCCTGTCAGAGATGAGGAAGCCGCGTCAGAGAACTTGAATAATTACTCACCAGCCACAGGAGAAATGGCAGAGTGGGGATTCAAATCAAGTCCACTATCCTCTCCACTGCCCTTAGGACCTCTTCTCTTTTACCTACAAATTTATTCCATACCCAAATTGACCTGAGCTGGGAATTCCAACAGGAGCACCAGATAAAGTGATGAGGGTCTGTCTCCCAGTCGGACAGGCTACACTAAGCCTTGATTGTTTATGTGTTAGTGACAGGCTTATCAAATCAGGGTCACTGTAAGCATTGGAACCCTTTTTTTTTTTTTGAGAACAGTACCGGGTAGTACTTCCATGCTGGATCACTGGCCATTGCCTAACTCGCATGGCAACCCCAGTCCTCTTGGAGGTTCCATCAGCAGCCTCTGTCGGTGTCCTAGCACGCAGGCGGAGCAGGAGCGAACGTTGTGTGGCATTCGTTTGCTGGGGTGTTCCTGACCTGGTCAGTGATGTACGAGGGCCCTTTGGTGGCTGTGAAAGTCTCATTTCCCCCCGGGACAGTGAAGAAGGAGAAATAATTATTGTTGTATTTACCATTTTTGGAGGGTCTGTTAAGTAACGTACACTGTAGTGGATGCTTTGTGTATGTTGTCTCATTAGTAATCCTCAAAGACCATTTCTACAACGGGTCTGGAAATAGCTTGGCCCTCTTTTCACTCCTGAGGAAGCTGAGGCTTGGGAGAGGCTGAATCCCTTGTCCAGAGTCACACACTTGGCCAGCCAGTGACAGGGCCCCAGTGCTGCATACCCAGGGCTATCGGGAAAGCCTGAGCTCTTGCCATTCTCCTGAACTTGCTCCTCAGATTCCTGGGGGTGCCAGGTGGGTCTGCTGAAGTTATAACTTGGAATAAAATAAAACTGTAGGAGAAGGAGAAGGGGGGAGATGTTGGGTCCATTTTGACGTCTGCAAGTATTCTTCAGTGGGGAGAAACGCCATCCTCATCCTCATTAACCACATACATTTTAAACACCGTCTACTTTGAGCCCAGTTCTTACAGTCAATGCAATGATTGTGAATGCCTCTGCTTGCTACAGGGACATTAATCGAGAGACAAAGAAGGCATCAATTCAAACTTCCTTGGACACCTTTTTTAAGAGACCTGGGCCATCCAAACCATCCCCCAAAGCCCTTCTAAATTCTAAGAAGGCAAGCAAAATTATTGTTAATAAAATGTTTAATGTTTATTATGGCTAGCCTATTAGTTTTAGGCCAAATTTCTGGTATGGTAGAGTTGTAATTTTTTTCTTTTTTTTTTTTTTTTAACAGTATTTATACATTACAATGGGATCCTGAATAATCTGTGTGTAGTGTATTTTGGGCCTTAAAGCACAATTTTACTACTTTAAACAATTCTAGAGTACTACAGTTATTTGGGATTTTGTTGTTGTTATTTGCTTTCATTTCATTTACTAGCATACTGTTTGGAATGTCCAAATTATTCATAATGGTTCCTTTCTAAACAAGTAGCCAAAAATCGCACAGATTTCACAGGTTTCAGAAACAGGAGAGCCTTGGAGGCCCTGTGTACTGGGATAGTCAACTGAACTAGAGAAAGGGCTTGGGGCACTGGAGAGCATTAAAGATCAGGAGTTGTGTGCATTTTTGTGCATCCATTCCTAGGGAATAATTTTGAGAAATAAATGGCTCATTCCCTTGAGCAAAGAATTTTTTTACTGAGCCTCTTTGGGAAAGCTGACTAAATTTACTTGTGGTTCTGTCTTAGCTGGTATAGAATCAACCTTTTTGTGAAGAGAAGAAAGTTCCAGTATGCTAGCTAGTTTTGTGGGGTGATATTTCAGCATTTTTTCCCTCTTTGGCAAGACGTCACACCTGGGAGATAACGTAATCTTAAAGCTACACAACATAAAAGCAGTTCCCCCTACGATGAGAAGGGCTGGGGACAGCTTTCTTAAGACCTCAGGGGACTGACTTTCATAAGCACATCATTTGATCCACAAACTCTTTGGGTCGTTGTACATTTGTGTTTTGAGGAGTACATTTGCCCATTGCTGTAACCCTTCTCTGTGTTCCCTGCCTGGGTCTGTGTTCCCAAGGACTGCTCAGTGAGAATAAAACACGCGTGGGAACCTCTTCTTTGGTCAGGAAGATAAAGATTATGCAAGTGCAGAGGTCAGCAACCCTTTCCTCTGAAGGACCAGATAGATCTTTTAGGCTTTGTAGGCCAGCCAGTCTCTATCACAACTACTCAGCTTTACCATTGTAGCGTGAGAGCAGCCATACATAATAAGTAAACAAATGAGTGTGGCTGTGTTCCAGGAAAACTTAATTTACCAAAACAGGCAGCAGGCCAGAATGGGCCAGCAGACCATTGTTTGCAGCCCTGCTTTAGCGCAGAGATTTTCAAATCATTTTGTGACTCTCCAGAATTGTACAGATACCTCAGGTCCTGGAGACAAGATTTTGTTTCATCTGCATTTCTTGCCAGGTCCTTGTGAATGTTGAAATAGCTTTCCCAAAAAAGCATCAAAGCCTTTAAAGATCAACGTTTATTGTTTGCAACTTCATACAGAGATCCTCTTAATATATATATTTTTTGGTACTACTTTCTTAGAGAATACCAAGCTTTTTCTCTTGCCTCAGAACCATTAAAAGTTAAATTTATAAAGCTGTGTAGTTGTACGCCCTCTGGGCCCATTGTCCCTGTTCTGCGAGGCCCCAGGCCACATAGCAGTGCACATTTGTGTTCACTCTTTATAAAAACTGCCTCCTCTTCTCCTCCCTGAGAGAGTCTGCTCTCCCTCCTGTTGCTGTCTCCTTACTTGTCTGTAACACTACCACTGCCCTCCCAATCTCTTAATGCACCCTTAATCAAAACTCAATAGATCTGGGATTGAAATACTAGTACACTGATGTAATAACGTGAAGATCTGAGTGAAATATAAAATACATGGCCATTTTCCTATCCACTTTGGCTACTCAGAAAACTTTTCTTGGGCCGGATGTTTAGATCTTAACTGTTTTAGATAGATGAAGCTGAGGTTCCAAACAAAGGTGATATTGCAACAAAATTTCAAGGTATGGTAAAATCATAATTTTACATCAGAAAGGCCTGGTAATAGTGTCCATCTTTTCCCAAAAAATTAAAAAAGAAGAGTGTGTTGTTTCGTACTTCTGAAGTTTGAACTCTGAGTCCCCCCTCCTTTCCCCAGCCTCTATTGACTCCTGTCTTCCGTAAAATTTCCGCATCCCCACACCTCGTGCTTGATTATAGTCCATTCTCTAGTGTTTCACATCTGTGTCCCCAAGTAGAACTCGCAAGCACCTTGAGATTGGTCGGTTGGTTGGTTTGTTGATTTTTTTTTCCCCTGATATAACCACCCTAGAGCATGAAGACAATGCTTGATACCCAGCAGGTTCTTATTGGCCATTTGATTACTCAGATGTTAAAACTTAGTTTTGAACCAAATTTATTAATTAAACACTATTTGATTGTCTCAGACTATGAAAAGATTCAGTTTTAATAAATATTATTTCAAATTCATATTTGACTATTAATGCTGCCAGAAAAAGACAGTTCTCTGAGAGTAGATGTAGAAGGGAAAGATTAGTTGAAATCTAGTGGCCTGGTATAAAGGTTGCAAAGGACTTGAAATGTTTTCCTGTGCACAAGGCTGAGTGGGTAGCTGCTAATTGAATACAGAGCCTAGAATTTTACCTCTTCAGGAGAGGAGTTTTGTTACTTACGTTCCTCTGGTTTAGGAGGTGTCTCTTTTGATCCTTTTCTTCAGAAAAAATTGGACTGTCTGAAAAGCCTGGATCTGTTTAACTGTGAGGTTACTAACCTGAATGACTACCGAGAGAGCGTGTTCAAGCTCCTGCCCCAGCTGACCTACCTGGACGGCTATGACCGAGAGGATCGAGAGGCCCCTGACTCAGATGCCGAGGTGGATGGTGTGGACGAAGAAGAGGAGGATGAAGGTGAGTGGGCGTTAACATCCAGTGAACCTAATTTCTGCCTTTCAGAGGTCCTGATAAAGCTGCTGAATGTTCTTGCTATTGAGAAAAATAATTTATATCCATGCAGGTAGGCCTTTCATTAAATTTGGAGCTAGGACCTCTGTTTAATTTTAATAAGTTCTTGGGACATTGAAGCCTTCAAATGATTCAAAATAAAACTGGTTCATTCGTTAATTAGTCTTGAATTTGGAGCCTAGAGATCATAGACGATGCTCCAACTGATTGAAGTACTTGTGGTTTACAGTTGACCAAAAGGACCATCTTCTCCTGTCTCCTGCCTTTCTCCTAGATGTTCCCCTTTCTTGGTTACTGCGTACTTATCCTTAATACTTTCAGGAAGCATTTCCTGGCGCCAGCGGGCTGGGTTAGGTTCCTGTGCCTGCTGGAGCATCCCCTCGCTTACCTCTTTCATAGCACTTGTCACACTCTGCTCATCTCGGTCCTTTCAGCTATGCTACGATTATCTTCTTGAGTAGAGACTTTTATCTCTTTATTCACACTTAGTAGGTACGAGGTGCATGTTTGTACATGTACCACGTATCCTAATATGAATAAAATAGCTTTCTTGCCTTCGATATATGACTGGAGATAAGGCAATGATTTTAAAGTACTATATGTTGGATTCCATTTTTCATTAATAAGGAAAATAATCTCTGGCCATAAAATGGAATTAGAATATAGTTTTTATTTTTGACATTTGATCAAGGTTTTTTGTATCCAGTTATCTTTAAGAATCTTGGTATTTTTTCTACCCAAAATATCCCTCCTGATAGCTTGTGCTTTCCTTGCACAGTGACTCGTTGACTCTGAGTCACTTGGGGTAAATGGTTTCTTGCCTCCAAGTGACTTAGGGGAAGCAGAGTGATCAGTTTTCACATCAGTCAGCATGAAGAAAACTTATTCTCCTAGAATTCCCGATGTTGCTGGAATTGATTGTGCTACTGTATCTGAAGCATTATTTTTTTGTGTGTGTGAGGAAGATCGGCCCTGAGCTAACATCTGCCAATCCTCCTCTTTTTTTTTTTTTCCACTGAGGAAGACTGGCCGTGGGCTAACATCCATGCCCATCTTCCTCCACTTTATATGGGACGCCGCCACAGCATGGCTTGACAAGCGATGCGTCAGTGCGTAGCTGGGATCCGAACCAGCGAACCCCGGGCCGCCGCAGTGGAGTGCGTGCACTTAACCGCTTGCACCACCGGGCCGGCCCCTGAAGCATTATTTTAAATGTCTTTTCTTTAAAGATACAGGATAGAAATAGTCAAGAAAAGTGGAGGAATGCAAACATCAGGCAGCTTGGGTGTGATCAGTGGTGTAGTACTCTGGAAACATTTCACAGCTTCATTTTGCAGCTGATTTGAGACTAGGCAAAGAGAGATGGGCTGTGAGACACAGGTCAGGTAGACACAGCAGGACGTCTCACCTTGTTCCAAATGTTTAGTCACTTACCCCCTTCACTGCAGGTTCTCAGTTATTCCTGGAAAACATTTGTCCCTCTGTTGTCTGTTTAAGCTCACCTTAGACAGGTCGAATGGCCACATGTGCAGGAGCCTGTAAAGGAGATTCCTTGGAGGGCGGGGGGCAGTTCCTGAGAGCGAAGATCAGTGAGGCACAAATATTTGAGCATTGCCCATGTGCCAGGCACTGTGGAAAATAGTTTTGAAAGAAAAAACAGACATTGTTTCTGTCCTCTTGGAGCTTACTGTCTGAAGAGAAATGTTAAATAATCATAGCTAACTAAATGTTCACAAGTGAGCGAAGCGTGCAGTAAAGGAGAAGCCTCAGGTGCTCATGTGAGAGCGTATGAGCTGGGATTAGGAGGTCTGGCAGGTCAGCCTGAGGAAGTGATGTTCACCTGAGACTGAAAGGTTGAGTCAGTGTTAGCCACGTGGAGAAGAAAGGAAGCGCATGCAGAGACAAGAGAGCACAGCGAGCTCCAGGAGCGGGATGGGTCAGGATGCTTGACTAGAGGTCCGCACCAGTGCACAGAGGTGCAGGGGAGCAGGGGCCTCTCAGCCAGCCTGCCTGTCCTGTGCGCACACGCCAGCCCACCACCTGTGACAGTGTCGCCCAGGTTCCTGATTTGAGCAGCTGGTTTTGTGGTGGTACCCTTACCTTAGAGAAGGAGCCTAATTTTTATTTATTTATTGGTAACTTTTTACTATGGAAAATTTCAGTCATAGACAAAGGTAGAAATAACAGTAAAGCTAACTTTCATGTTCCCGTCACTGAGCGTCAGCAATTACTGGTTCGTGGCTGATCTTGTTTTATACATACACTCCCCTACCCGCTTGCCCCTTCCTTATTTTGAAGCAAATCCCAGAAGTTGTATCATTTCATCAGTAAGTATTGTGGTGTGCATCCAGTCCACCGGGACTCCTAGCCTCCAGGTTTCATGGGACTCTGTCAGACAGAGGGACTGAGTTGCAGCAGCTTGGGAGGAACAGGGTGACAGCACTTCATGGTTTCCCCTGACATTGGTGTAGCCCAGCATTCATCCTGTGCACCAACCCAAAGCTCCCCAGCACCTTAGCAGGTGTGCCCCATGGGACAGCAAGGGTAGTCAATGAATTCCTTCTGGACTGTTTTCAGAAGGAGAAGATGAGGAGGACGAAGAGGATGAGGATGGTGAGGAGGAAGAGTTTGATGATGAAGAGGATGAAGATGAAGATGAAGATGGAGAAGGGGAAGAGGACGAAGACGAAGTCAGTGGGGAGGTCAGTGCAACTCTGTTTGCTGCCCTGCTGCCTGTCTGTAATTAAAACAAAGTGTGGATTTAAAAAAAAAAAAAAAAAAGGAAGAAAGAAATAAAAAGGCCTCCTGAAGAAATTAGTATACTTGAGAATAGACTAATATCAGTCTGGTTAATTTAGCTCTTGTTCTGGGCCGGCCCCGTGGCTTAGCGGTTAAGTGAGCATGCTCCACTGCTGGCGGCCCGGGTTCGGATCCCGGGCGTGCACCAACACACCGCTTCTCCGGCCATGCTGAGGCCGCGTCCCACATCATACAGCAACTAGAGGGATGTGCAACTATGACATGCAGCTATCTACTGGGGCTTTGGGGGAAAAAAAGGAGGAGGATTGGCAATAGACGTTAGCTCAGGGCCGGTCTTCCTCAGGAAAAACAAAAAGAGGAGGATTGGCATGGATGTTAGCTCAGGGCTGATCTTCCTCACAAAAAAAAAAAAATTAGCTCTTGTTCCCCTTTTAGTAAATACTAACTGGAATGCGTACTGAATGCTAACTAGACACAGTGCTTGGCTCTGCAAAATAAGTTTTGACCCTTTAACTTGGGGAGGAAGCAACAAGTCAGGTATTCATTCAGTAGGGTGAGAAAACTGGAAACGTTGAGAACTGATGTCTGTCTGTCCCTTTGTTGTGTTGAAGGGAAGGGTATGTTTACCGAGTCTGAACTTGCTCTTGTGTATGCAGCTTAATTCAGTAAGTATGTTATATGCTGTGTTGAAGAGTTGCAGATGCAAAACGAAATAAGAACGTGGTCCTGCCCCGAAAGAGCAGGTCGTCTAGTTTATGGGATGCCCAGTAGAGTGGTATCTGAGCAGCTGAGTGCCGTAGAAGGACGGGGAAAGGAGTGGCTTAACTGTGACCCTCAAGGAGGTCTGTGAAAACAGGCAAAGAAAATTAGATGTCATCAAAAAGCATGTTCTTTTGTAGTGCAAAAGTAAGGCTGAGTATTAGTATAATCTCGTAGGTGTTTAATGAAATTAAGTTCCTGAAAAAAGCTTTTCATAAGAATGGAAATATAAACATCTTTGTCCAAACTTGCTTTGAAATTCAAGATTTTAAAGTCATTTCTTGAATTATCCCTTATAAGTTGCATACTAATTAAACATGTCTGGCAAATAAAATGATTACATTTTGAAAAAGCAGTTTTTTAAGAAAAGTTTAAATTAAGCCCATAAGAAAAATCAACAAATCTCAGTACGTCAAAGTAGATGAAAACAACGTAACAGTTTTCTCCTTGATGAATTGTTACATTTATTGGCAGATTATATTTTTCTTTGTACTTCTCACCTTGGCAGAATTAATCTAATAATGGTATGCTATTTACCATTCTTTAGGAAGAAGAATTTGGACATGATGGAGAAGTTGATGAAGATGAAGATGATGAGGATGAGGATGAAGATGAAGGTGGGTCTAATGCCTGCACTTTGGTCCTCCTCAGTTAAAAATTGGGGGGAAATGTCCATTAATTTAGAATTTGTAACCACTGAGAAGAAAATAAAATGCCCTTGGCCTGGTGGTCTTCACAGGCACTTGTATAGCCCTGTCAGTGTCTGTGCTGGTACAGCTCCCCTGCTCTACAGTGATGATAATCCGTGTGTGAGAGCGGGAGGCCTAGTCCTTGGTCCCCACACTGGAAATGTGTTTTTAGGCCCCATCATTTGGGTTACTGCCAGCCATGAGATTTCTGTGTTTTGGAATTCTTTCATTTAAAAAAGTCTTAATAATTGGATCATAATTTTTGCAGAATATATAAATAGCACCTTTCCAATTTTATCAGTGTTACTCCTTTCCCTACCACAACCAAAACCAGCGAAACATCTATTATTTATTATTCACTGAAAGTACAGGCTCTCACGCTTGTGTAGGTGTCAGAGTACAGGTTGTTTGCTGTGCTTTCCCACTGGTTCAGACTGTCTCAGCATCTGCCTTCCGTGCCAGGCACTGGACTAAATTTACACTGGCTACAGCAATAGTTAGGACCTGGTCCCTGCCTTCAAAGAGCTTTTTGGAACATAATTGAATGCAGATTTAGTTAAGTTCATTGAACTAGCCAGGAATTTTTACTAGCTGAAAAAAACAGAACTACAAAAAAATGTGTAGGTCACTGTGTGTCAGATACCTAAGGAGTCTAAGAAATCCCTTTTTAGTTGATATTAACTTGCTGTGGTTTGAGTCTTGCCGTGTTCTAGGCTAAATACTTTGTGTTATCTCATTTCATCTTGGGGGTAACTCTCTCATAAAGTCAGTACTATTGTCCCCATTTTACAGACGAGAAAACAAGCTTCAAGAGGTTAAGTGGCCCGCCCAGGGTCACTTGTTAGCCTGGCTCAGAAACAGGCTAGCTAACTCCAAGGTCCTTGCTATGCATTTTAATAACTGCTAATGTCTAATTGTTGGGACCAAAAAGTGTAAGAAACATTTGGAAGACAGCAGCTTAAAATTGAGAAAACTGGGTTCCCTTTTCTGTGATTTGAGATGCTGCTGTGCATTTTGCCCTTCTTGGTTCCATGGTCACTGTTTATGCTTTTTTAAATTAATACCTCTTCATTAACAACCTGTCGACCTGATCAAGCTTAACATCTTTTTTTAATCTCCTAACCATCAAAAAATTCATTGTTGTTTACCTCTGTTAGCAATAACTTAAGCAAAATGCCTTTCCACTTGTCTCAAAGTGAATTTTTGTTATTGTACAGAGGAGGAAGAAAGCGGGAAAGGTGAAAAGAGGAAGAGAGAAACAGATGATGAAGGAGAAGATGATTAAGACCCCAAATAACCTGCAAAAAAAGAACTGTTCAGTATTGGTTGGACTGCTCATATGGATTTGGTAGCTGTTTAATAATTAAAAAAAAAGGTAGCTGTGATACAAACCCCAGGACACCCACCCACCCAAAGAGCCAAAGAACAGTTCCTGTGACATTCCGCCTTCCTCCATTTAGTCCCTCTTGGAAATCCACCACCAAGCTTGGGGACTTCACCCCAACAAAATTGTAAGCGTTGTTAGGTTTTCGTGTAAGACTCTTGCTGTAGCATGGATAGCTGTGATTGGTGAGTCAACCTTCTGTGGCTACCAGTTACACCGAGATTGTAACAGCATTTTTACTTTCTGTACAACAAAGAAGCTTTGTAAATAAAATCTTAACATTTTGGGTCTGTTTTTTCATGCTTTTCTCTTTAATGAAATTTTTTTACATTAGGACGTTTTATGTGACAACTGCCAAAAAACTATTTTTAAGAATTTAAGTGAAATAAACACGTTCCTATTTGGTAAAGCTTAGTTGTATGCTTACATTTTTAAACTAGACTTTAATTGTAAGCTCATGTTAAATCACACTAAAGAACTGGTCTCTTTGGGGTCTTTATACTAGTGGTTGTTGAGGGAAAATGCACGGTTAAGTAGGATCTTTGAGCATTTAAATCTAATCCTCATCCTTGATGACTGTGAGAGTGAGGCAGACTTTTTAAAACTAATGTTTGAAATTCATTGCTCTGGAGCCCCTGAAAACCAGTAAAAATAATGTTAGATTCAAATAATAGACGAGTTAGGAAAAGAGGGTAGTATAAAGGAAACGCTTTTACCCTGAGTCCAGAGAGGTCAGAATTCTAGTTCTGGCTCTGCTGCTGGGTTCCTGTGTGACCTTGTGTTGACCTTGGGATCACCTCCCAGTCTATAAAATTGAGGGGGTGTGACCAAATGGCTTCTGAAGTCTCTTACAGCACTGATGGTCTGTGACCCTTGCTGACAGGAAGGTCTGAAGAAAAAAATGGGCTTTGCACCAAGGCTGAAACATGTAGGGTTTGACTGACAGGTGAACAGAGAGTATGGTTTGTTACCAAGACAGGCGTGCTAAGGAGGAATGACATGTGAAAAGCCTGGCTGAGGAGCGGGTGGGCACTGCCCGAGGTCAGCTAGGCTTTTCCAGAAGATGGAAATTTTCTCTCTTACAGATCTTAGAGGGATTTGGGGGAGGGGTAAAATAGTCTACAGTCTGCGTATTCAATGGCTCAACCTTTTAATAGATGTGTGACTGTGTTGTCAATATTTTTTGTAGTGGAAGATTTGAGGATTGTTTTAGTCCATCTTAGCTGTAAGCTGCTAGAATGAGTAGGGTTTTTGTGCATGTAAAAGCAGTGTTAAAGATTGGAATCGAAGTTGAATTTATGTCTAGCAAAAGTTACATAGTGTCAGTGGAGCCCCCAAATCACGGACTTGAAAATTGAAGTCTCCTCTAGGCTTTAAAGTGGAGTTTGCTTTTTACAAAGGAAATTTAAGAAAATTGAATTTGATTTCTGGCTTAGCAGGTATCACTTTCTTTTCCCCAACCCCAAGGACCTATCTGCCATTTAGCAAACCTCAGATACATTATAAAGCAATTTCTTCTGTAGCCTAGGTATCCTCAGGCCTTGTATATATTGTCAAATATCAAACAGTAACTTTGAATGATTATTTTTCCTGCTGCTTCAAGTTTACAGAACTTTCCAGTATCTGCCAAGCACCTAGGATACGCCAGGCTCCTTGGCTGGGCAGAGGGAGGGGGGTTGAGATGGAGACAAGCCAGCACTTGAGGGCTCACAGTAACTAGTAGGGAAGAGAAGACACAGATGTGGAATGATACTTACCAGGACCTAGAACAAGAGGCCGGGTAAGTGTTAGGGGTAATTCAGAGGCTGGCAAGGTGGCATCCAACTAGGGGGATTAGGAAAGTTTCCAAGAAAGAAAAGTATTTGAGCTGCACATGCAAATACGAGCAGGGTTTAGAAATAGGAATGGAGAAAGGAGGAAGGAGCGTGATGAGCAGAGGTCAGAGGTAGGGAACTGCTGAGGACATTTAGATTCAAATGGGCAAGTTGGACTCGAGAAAGAGAGGAGAGGGAAGGCAGGTGCGAGGAGCAGTAATTCGGGACCTTATCCTAGAAGGCCTTGAAGGTCAAACTTTTCTTGTGCGTTCACTTTGTGAAATGTCTGTTTTGACCTACCACATGTGGCCAGGGCAGATGTCTAGGGAATTACCAAGCCAAGATTTTATTTCTATCCTGTTTTTCTTTTAAAATTAGGTTTTCCAGAAGCCTGTGACATTCTGACCTCTGGGACAGCCTTGAGGCTCAGCTGCTCTTGACTAAAGACTTTTTAAATTGAGAAGCAAGCTTTTTGGTGATGAGGTCACAGAGCAGACTGTATGTCTGGAATTGTCTCCCATCTGAAGGAGGCCTTCATTGAGTGGGTTTGCTTCCAGCTCCTGCAGTGAGTGAGTTACAGTGTGGGAGCTGGCAGGAGCTGTGACGGCCTGGATGACTAGTCCTGACTTGCTCCCGCCGGCTCAGTGGAGGAGTGCGTCTCTTCGACACACACCCGCCCTCCAGCCAGAGCAGCTGCTCTGTCCCATGTGATATGTTGGAGTGTCATGATTGCATTTGGAGCATTTGTCCTTTAAAATAAAAGAGTTGGAACCATTGTTCATTGTAGAGATGAGGAAACTGAGGCACAGGAGAGGGTCGAGGACTGGCCCAGGGTTTCCTGGTGAAGTAGTGAAAGAACCTGGCCTCGAAGTCGTGCTGCCTTGTTTGCAGCCTGGTGCTTTTAGCCTTTAGTTCACTCCTGCTACAGGACTCCAGGCCCTGAAGAGTGACCGACACTTCGGATGGAAATGCAGAGCGTCCTGTGTAAAATGCTAGCACCCCACCCCACATCATCAGGACACCTAACTAGTACACATGTAGGGGCAGTTACAGCAGAGCTGACCACGTCCATTTCTGGCATTCCTATTTGGGCTACACCACCTACCCCCAGAGAGAGGTGAGACAACCACAAAGGCAGTTCCACCCCTGGGCTGTGTGACCTTTCCTTTTCTCCCACCTGGACAGGTTGTGCTGACACCAGTTTTAATGAGGCTGATGATACCACTGTGTTGACAGTTTAAAAAGGGAGTCAAGTTACCAGCGGACTTAAGTGTTGGCCGGCCAGCAGAAACCTCCAGAATCGCAGCAAGTGTAGAAGTTCTTCCCAGAGCCAGTTAGGTCAGCTTCATAATCTCTGGCCAAGTATTGTATAACTTGTTCCAGAGGTGTTGGGAGGCATATGGAGAAAAGAAAATGACCCTGAGAGTTACTGTCTGATTGAGGGGACGTGACCCCAGGCCAGGAGGGGATTCGAGTGTGCGTTCATCACGGCACCGCCCCACCCAGCCCTGTGGAGCAGGAGTGGAGGCATGATGAGGAAGGCCTCAAACAGAGCCACTGGCTGGTTTGGACCCGTCTAAGTCACTTCCCTTCTGTGAGCCTCCAGTTTCTCCACTGAAGATACGGGGCCCAAGCTAAGTGAGCTTGCAGCTCCGTTCTGGCTCTGCAACCCTGAATGCGGTACACTCCGAGTTCTAACCAGCAGCAGGGATGCTAGTAGTTATTACTTGGGCTGTTACTCCCCATTACCCCAGAGCCCTCCTGAGGAGGAGTAAGGGTTTGGGCTGAGGGAAAATGTCAGAGCTGAGTTTGAGGCTGACAGAGTAGGAAGGGATAGACCAGTAGCAGGAGACCGGTGAGGAGGCTGTTACAGTTATGTGGACAAGACCGGATGAGGGCTGTGCCCCAGGACTGACAGTGAGTGAGGCGCCTTCTGAACATTGCGATGGGAATACCAGTAAATCGGTCCTGCTAGTCAGACTAGTTGGTCTCTGGGAAGCAGCCTTACAGACTCCCATCAGCATGAGCAGGATGTATGTGTGCCACTAGGGGGCACTAACACGTCGAGTCGGAGGAAGGAAGCAGATGGCCATTTATTGCGGATTCTTTTTTAATCCTCAACCCCAGCAAAATAATACACTGTAATCCCGATTTTACAGATGTGGAAACTGAAGGATTTAGAGGTGAAGTGCCTTACCCAAAGTCACAGCCAGTAAGTGGCCGGCCTGGCTGGGGGTGGATTCCAGCCCAGCTCTGCCTGAACCCAGAGCTTCTGCTCTTTGCCAAAGGCAGCTCGCTAGGGCCCTCTGGCTCCTGGCTCCATTCTAAGGAGAAAGTTAGTGGACCTGTTTCTTCCTCCTCAGTCTGCAGCAAAGTAGACACTGGCTAACAAGACCCTGTTGGTTCCAGAGATTCAGGACAGAGTGAGAATAGAGCTAAAGTTTTCAGAGGTGGAACAATGAAACGCTTCGGGGAGCAGGCAAACAGCGCTTGATAAATACTGACAACTACCCCTCTTAGTCACACCGATCATCACACACAGAAGGCGGCCATCCTGCCATAGACCACCTTAGTGACCTTGAGAAAGACCCTTTGTTTCTTGGAATTCAGCCTTCCCATTTCGTAAATTGGGAGTGCCCTGCCCACTCTCTGCCTAAGCTAACGAGCGTGAAAGTGCTGGAAACCTGAGGGGTGACTTGTTGAGAAGAGCTGGGAACAGCCTGTGCCATGGACCTCTGTCCCTGGCAGACTAGGCTAGTGCATACAGCCAGGGTTCTGCACAGCTGTGTACCTGGGAGCTGCTGCAGCAGGTGGGTGTGTAAGTGGGCATCTGAGCACAGTGGGTGGCCTGGGAGTGGGTGACAGGACCCGGGGAAACTTGAGAAGTCTGCAGGACCCCAGCCAGTCCCTGGGGATGGGAATTCCTGTCAGGCCCTTGGCTTTGTCCATTCCAGTGACTGGGTCAGAGGCCTGCCTTGTCCCTGATCTGCCCTAGGGTCCCCCCGCTAGGACATCAGCCTGTTGTGTCCCTGCTTCTGTAGCCACGCAGTGCCCCCACAGCTACGCATCCAGATCCTACCTAAACCACCCTGCCAAGCTCAGGCCTGACCAGCTCCAGTTTGGCCTGTCCTGAGTCCTGCTTCTGACTAAGGCAATGATGGCCCCAGTGTGTCCACGGCACATGACAGTTTGCACGGCTCTTTCACATCCATTGTCTTGTACATAGGAGGCAGTGTGAGGATTCTGCCCCCATCTCTCAAATGAGGTAATTGAGGCTCACGGTGACTGTGGCAAAGCCCCAGCGTGCAGAGCTAGGCTGACTTCTCTTCCTGCCTTGTGCTATTCCCGGGGAAAAGGCCAGAGATGCAGGAGCTGACAGTGGACTGGGGGCCCAATTCCACTGGACTTGGGAGAAGCTCATCTCAAAGGGTCTCTTACCCGGATCCCCGGGGACTTCTGAAACCCAGAGCTCTCCA